GGCGCAACCTCGGCTCCCTGTAACCTCCGCCTCCCAGGTTCAAGCCATTCTCCTGCTTCAGCCACCTAGTAGCTGGGATTACAGGCACTCGCCACCACACCTGGCTAATTGTTTCTATTTTTAGTGTAGATAGGGTTTCACTATGTTGGCCAGGCTGGTCTCGAACTCCTGACCTTGTGATCCGCCCACCTCGGCCTCCCAAAGTTTTTCAGAATTTTTTAGAAAACACTTCTACTAACCTTAAGCCTTTCTTTCAAACCCAGATCCCCTTACATTGATCAGACGTAACAAGTTTGCTTCAAGTTTTTGGAACTGGTTTCCACTTTAGGCTACTGAAGGTCCCATATCCCCAAAAGACTATCCCTTCATCTCCTCAGCCCCCCGTTTAAAGATTACACACCGCAGTCGGGTGGGTGCCAGATGAGGAAAGCGGAAGACGCGGATTCCCTCCCGTGCAAGGAGGGTCCCGCCAAACTGTCTGGGCCACCCCCCAACTTTGGCTTCAGGACTGCAGAAGCATCTCCTGCATTAGGCTGCATCCAGGAGAGAGGGACTAAGGGATTTCGTTTAGAAATAGGGGCGGGGGCCGGGTGTTGGGCTTGTCAGTGCGTAGGTGAGTGTTGACATACATCACCTCACACACCTGATGAAGGAAAGAGGCGACAGGCTCGGAACCTAAGCGGGCGGAGAGACACTTTGTCTCCCTTTCAGATGGGCCCGGGCTACTACGAGTCTGCATTTCACTTGTCCAGTTTGAATTAGCAAGTAATGAAGTCACACAAGCAGAAGCTGCTGCTCGTGATTATAAGACCCTTAGAACTATCCCGCTGGACTTCAGAGGGCCAGAAGCCTGGCTTCCCTCTCTCTCGGGTCTTCCTTCATCTGTCACGGGATATTGGCCTGCGCATGTTGAAATTGTGAAAAGCGTCGAGTCCATGAGAAGTACCAGCTTGATAAACGTAAGTCTGCATGATGCCTCCCGAGGATCTGTGTGAAAAGTAAACTGCAGCCGGGCGCAGTGGCTCACGCCTGTAACCCCAGCACCTTGGGAGGCTGAGGCAGGCGGATCCCCTGAGGTAGGGAGCTTGAGACCAGCCTGATCAATGTGGAGAAAGTCTGACTCTACTAGGAATACAAAATTAGCCGGGCGTGGTGGCTCATGCCTGTAATCCCAGCTACTCTGAGGCAGCAGAATCGCTTGAACCTGGGTGGCTGAGGTTGTGGTGAGCCCAGATCGCGCCATTGCACTCCAGCCTGGGCAACAAGAGCGAAACTCTGTCTCGAAACAAAAATGTAAACTTGCTGTCTGTGAGGGGAATTGGGATCTGCTCCCGTAAAATGGGAGGGGTGACCTGGGGGCTCTTCTTGCCCTTAACGGCAAGCAATTGCCCGTCCTCTGGGTTCCTTCCACCCCTGCCGCCTGCTGGAACCTGCTGTGGCAGCAGCATCTCGCGCGGCCGCTGCGTGCTGGGTTGTTCCATCCACAGCAAGATGGGCCGTGCTGGTCAGGGCTCCAGGGAAAAAGCACAAATAAATCAAACACCAGCTCCCACTTAAGATCTGATGAAATTCTCCATTTCCGCTCCAAACTGAATTCCTCCCGAAGGATGGGAGCAGCTCCTGGGAGTCATGAAGGCACTCCTTCCTCCTCTGCTAGAAACATGTTTTAGATTAACAGACGCAGCCTTCTAATCTGGGTGGGTAGGTAGCGTTCAGGAACAGCCTTGAGAAAGTGTTTTCAGACCAGACATGATATTTTTAATCTCAAGGGGCAAGGCGGCAGACGCGCAACACGCTTGGCCTCGGCGGTGGAGGCGGCCCCAGAGGTGGTCTCCTGGGGAAGAGTGACAACGTGGGAGTGTGGCTGCAAGCCACAAGCCACCCCTCCTGCCACCTCCTCTCCTCCACCACTTGGAGCCAAGAAGAATTTATGGTGGGGAATAGAAGCGAGAGGGTTTGTGCTTTTTGAGATTTGAAATATCACTTTCCTTCCCATCTCTTATTTGGGAAAAATAGTACGCTCTGTGATTTAAAAAAAAAACATGAAAGAAACGTTTTTAGGATGAAGACGTCATTGAAGTGATTATCTTCCATTCTCTGTAATGGTGATGAATCGACAGTCTGGCATTTGTAGAGGCATTTGACACCGACTCTTTCGGGGGAAAAAAAGAAACAATTTTCCAGTGAACCTTGTCAGGGGGAAGACTGATCACCGGCAGGCCGGCTCGGACCCTGAGCACAGTTCCAAGAAGACAGGGATGAGGAGGAGCCGGGCCGGGTGCAGGGATGAGGAGGAGCCGGGCTGGGTGCAGGGATGAGGAGGAGCCGGGCTGGGCTGGTGAGTCGAGGCTGAGGTAGGAGTGCAGTGTTCTACAGGGTCCATTCTGTTTCGAGGGTGGACATGAGATAGATTATCTGTTGAGAAAGAAATACTTAACATTATTCCTTGAAGTGAGCTAAAGAAAATTACTTTTCTTCACTCACCGTTGGAAAAAAAGCAGTCTATAAAAAGATAAGAGGTTAAATCTACTTAACATGAGAAATTCAGACATTTAGGATCCGAGGGAGGGAAGGAAATTCTTCTTGAGAGAATATCCTGTTGGTCCTTTTATGTCAGAATTTTGTCAGCAGCCTCTAAGAAAGGTTATCAAAACCTCATCCACGTGTTTGGTTTCCGTTTAAAAAGAAGCCTTTTCCTTCATAGGGAAATAGCCCCAGAGTATCCAGTAAGTCAGACCCAACCTCAGAGGCCACATGGCCCGGGATCCTTTCGAGTCAGGGTCCCAGCCGGAAAACTGCTTTTCAGGGAGAAGGTCATGTTTCCACAGAGAGTGCGGTCATTTCTACGGTTAACGCCCTTCCTCCTGAGCCGGAGGATGTTCGGGACCTTCAGGCGTGGCCTCCCTCAGAGGACGGTGGGAAGTGCATTTACCCCCGACTCCGAAGAAAGGACTGAAGATGGCAAAGGGGACGTTTAGGTGGAATTCTGGCAACGCCGGGGCCTGTCCCAAGGCCAGCAGGATGGACCGAGGCCAGGGTGGTGTCTCCAGAACACTGAAGGGTGGGGAGGGAAGTCTGGTGCAGACAGCAAGGACTGCTCAAGGGGAAAATGAAAGGGTGGGAGAAAGAAGTGCCACCCCCACACGCTGCTATTGTGCCTTCCTTCAGCCCTCGCAGCCTTTTATGTTTGCAACAATGGGCCCTGGTGAGGCTTCCGCGCTGGCACAGAAGCACGGGCAGGTCCCCGGACAGCGGAGGCTTTTTCTCCATGAAGTCTCAGAGCGATTTCGCAGTCGTCCGCTCCCAGAAGCTTCCTGGCCGGAGTCCGCCCTCCAGTCTCGGGAAGGACGTGCACGTCTGTCTCTCTGGCCGTGGACCCTGCCCACGCAGGCTTGCCCTCCAGCCTGTTTATAAGGCCTGAAGTTACTTCTGTTTTGTTTTAGCCCAAAGGGTGAACTGCTGCCAGCAGTATGTCTGGAATGTTATTTACTTGGTACATTTCTGTGGCTTTTCTTTGTAGCATTGCACATGCCAGAGCCATTTACTTGAAAATGCCAGGTTGCACAGTTTGTCTTCTCGACGGGGTGACTTTCTCAGTTAGGGGAGTTTAGTTCCTGTGTCTCTCAGCTTCTTCCTTCCTTCCTTGTTTTTTTCCCCCGAGTTAGTGCTCTGAGCAATACTGTTGGTGCCGGTTGCATCGCACCCCTTTGTCCTGAGTGCCCCAACTCCACTTGTAATTTCTGGGGTTTCTGGTGTCCTCTTCAGAGCACCTGGCAGACGCGTTTTCATTTGCACGCCTGCCCTGTTATTACTTCACATGAAAGCTGTCTGTTTTGGCAGACATGACTGTCATGATTGCAGCTGAGCTCTGAGCTGAATGGGTGACGTTGTGTAAGGAAGCTCGAGGTGGGCTCTTCTCCGGTGGTGGCCGTGGGAGTGGAAGAAAAACCTGCGAGCCGTCTTGGCTTGTGCCGAGCTGACATGATGGCAAACAAATGACTTTTGAAGGGAGGAACCGGTGTGTACAGTCTCCCAATTTGGAAGGTTTCGCAACTGTTTTTGTTCAACTGAAGGAGGAGAGAGTTTGTAAGGGCAAATTCTTCATTAGGAAGACTGTAAACAAGTCCTGGAAAAAGGATAATTGCTGAAGGAGGAGGCATGGAAGGTATTTGACGGGCCTCTTTCGTCAGCTCCCCTTTTTCCCATGTCATCTATGCAGTTTTAATGGTGGTATTTTGGGTTTTAACACAAGGTATGGAAAATGAGATTAGCTAAATCTCCCTGTCTGGTGCCAGTCCTGGGGCCGTTTGCACACCTGGGTGGGATAACTCCCTGCTTTCTTTCTCTCTCTCAGCACACTTTTGTTCTGTCATGTGAGTCCGTAAGCACTTGCAGATACGACAGAAAAGCTTGGCCTTACACAGGCTCGGCCTTTATTCGGGCCTCCTGGAACCCTCGGCCCTCCCCAGCAGCTGCCGGTGTGTTCACATCAGAGCCGGCCCCCGTGCAGAATGGAACGTTTTTGCTCCGTTCTTCTCGGCTTTTTCTGTCCTTCTGTGTGACTTCTCAATTTGTTTGTAAGCTGCTCAGATTTTTGGCTGAAGGGTCTTCTTTGATCTCTCTCCTGACGGCATAAGCTTCACACGGTCACACCTGCTCTTCTTTTACAGTCCAGGTTTCAGAGGAAATGCTTCCACTGCCTTGTAATTTTTTTTTTTTTTTTGGAGTGTAAAACTTTGGTGCAGGTTACTTATTACAGGTAATAGCCGTTTGATGATGGAGAAAACTGCTTGGCAGAAACGGCCACCTGAACTGCAGCCAGAAACCTAAACTGCCGCTTTATTTATGTCTGAAAGCATCTAAGCCACAAGCCTATCAGTCATGATCTAGCATGCACATGATAATAACAGGCTCGCCAGGCTAGGAAAGCTGCCCCATGGGATGGCCGGGAGGACAGGCTCTAACAAGACTCTGTGCATTTTCTCCCCCATTCTCCACAGCCCACACATCATGTTCCTCTCTCAGAGCATCTTGACAGGAGGGAGCCATCTCTGTGGGACCCGCCTCTGCCATGAAATCGCCCACGCCTGGTTTGGCCTCGCCCTCGGGGCCCGCGACTGGACGGAGGAGTGGCTGAGCGAAGGCTTCGCCTCTCACTTGGAGGATGTGTTTTGGGCTGCAGCACAGCAGGTGGGTTAAGGTGACCCTAAGCCTCTCACTCCCCAGAGTCAAATTCCGTTTCTGGTCATTTGCTCACCCAGCAGCTGTGGACTGAGGGCCTGCTGTGCACTAGGCACAGACGTCGTGGGGAGATGGCTGCATAAACAGGAGAGGGAAGCCCCTGCTCCCCACAGGATGTGAAATCTAGAGGTGGGGAGAGTAGACAAGTGGAGCAGCAGTGGGTCCAGTGTGGGAGGCCAGTCGTCTCTTTCTGTGAAGAGAAATGAGCCCCAGAGAGGGGCAGGGGGTCCTCTTTTAGAAGCAGTAAGCGAAGGCCTCGCTGATAAGGAGATATTTGAGCAGAGATGTGAAGAGAGGTCATGCTATGGCATACTCAAGCACTTCTTTGTGGTTGTGATTGTGGTGGCGTGTGTGTGCGTTGTGTGTGTGTGTGTGCATTGTGTGTGTGTTTTAAATAAAGAGATTAAAACGTAAATCCAGAATCATCTCAGATGTCTGCTCACAAGTAATAAATGAAGAATGAAGCAGGGGTGGTATAGATTAGGGAATGGTGAGGACTGTGGCAGACTGACAGCTGCTACTCAGCTCTAACCAGTTGTCATGGTGAAGGTAGGAGGGCTCAATATAACCTACACTATTAATTTTTTAAGGTAATTTATAATTCTGAACTTTTATGTGAAGTTTACTAATTAAAAAAATACCATGCAAGACAAACATACCCGAAGCCAAACCTGGTGCACACGCTCCCAGTTTGCAACCTCTACCTTAAAGCATTCTAGTGAGGATAATAAGCAGCTGAACTGCCTTGTGCTTACTTTCAAGTTCCTAATTTATTTATTTTATTTATTTTATTTTATTTTATTTATTTTTTTAGACAGAGTCTTGCTCTGTCGCCCAGGCTGGAGTGCAGTGGCACGATCTTGGCTCACTGCAACCTCCACCTCCTGCGTTCAAGCGATTCTTCTGCCTCAGCCTCCTGAGTAGCTGGGATGACAGGCACAGGCCACCACACCTGGCTAATTTTTGTATTTTTAGTAGAGACAGAGTTTCACCGTATTGGCCAGGATGGTCTCGAACTCCTGACCTCGTGATCCGCCCACCTCGGCCTCCCAAAGTGCTGGGATTACAGGCATGAGTCACCATGTTCAGCCTCAACTTCCTAATATGCGGGTCACTCTTTTTCCCGTCATCCTTGTCCCTTATACACTGTGCTATTTGGCATTTTCCGAAATTCCCAGGTTTGTGCATACCTGCATGATATTGTTCGAGATCCTTTGTCTGTTGAAATCTTATTTATTTTTCACTAACCAGCTGGAGGTCACCTTCTCTAGATAGCCCAGACTGATTACCTGACTCACAATTCAGCACTGCCCTCCTATACACTGTGGGTTCTCACGATACGTGGTACTTACCTTTTTAAACTTACTGTTCTGTTTTCTTTTCCTTCTACTGTGTCATTTCCTTATCCTCATACCTGGACTGTGACTGCTTCAAATTGGAGCTGGGTCTTGCTTTTCTTACCCTGGCCATGGACCCAGCAGTGTTCTCATCAGTGTCCGCTGCCACATGGAGTCCTGTGAGGAGAGGCCACATGACAGACACAGAAAAGGCTCTGGGCTCCGAGTGAGAAAGACTGACTTCCGGTCCTGGCTCTGCCGTTCACCGGCTCTGAGTGTAGGTCGGTTAGGTAGCCTCCCCAAACCTCCGAGTCAGAAAGACTGACTTCCGGTCCTGGCTCTGCCGTTCACCGGCTCTGAGTGTAGGTCGGTTAGGTAGCCTCCCCAAACCTCCGAGTCAGAAAGACTGACTTCCGGTCCTGGCTCTGCCGTTCACCGGCTCTGAGTGTAGGTCGGTTAGGTAGCCTCCCCAAACCTCCGTTTCCCCATTTGTAGAATGGATATTAGAATGCCGAAGCTTGCGGGGTGAATGGGATCAGGTGTGAATGAGCTTAGCACAGTGCCCGACACGTGGAGAGTGTGCAAGAAATACCTGTTCCCTTCCTCTTTGTGTTTCCCTCCGCCTTACACACAGGCACTCAGCAGGGGTTTAATGTGAATGTACCTCTATCACCATCTCTTCCCTGGAGTGCCTCCCTTCTGAGACGATCCGATCTGAGCTGGTCCTGGAGTTGTCATGCGTTCCGGGCGTCTGATCATGACACCTCCGGCTTTGATCTCCTGCATCCCCAGAGTGCTCCTCCTTAGCCTTCCCTCTGCCTAGACTTCTAGGAGGCCACTCCTTAGTCTGCTGGCTTGGTCCTGCCTCTTGACTGATAAGTTTGCAAAGAGAAGTAAACACCAAGTATCGTCAGAATTCCGAGGTAGGAGAGGACAGGCCTGGGCGGGCCCAGAAAGCCTTTGTGGCTTCTGTTGTGAGCCTAAAGGGACAGCAGGAGCTGAGCTTTCTCTGTTGCTCCTTTCCCTTAACATGATAGGGGTCAGCCCCTCATCATCCTCGGAGGTACGTGCAGTAACTCTTCAAGATGCGAAAACATGAACACCCCTGAGGCAAAATGGCTGTTCTCGATTCCAGCACAAAGTTGGAAACGTTTCCAGAGCACGTCCGCCAGGCTGACCTCTCCCTTCAGTGGCGAGACTGAGTTGTTGCTGGCCCTGGCGAGGGCCTGCCTCAGACCGTCCAGGGAGTGGGGAGCACCCTGTGGGGCAGGGGTGGGTGTGCCACCTCCCGGGCTGCTCTTGGCCCGCAGGCCCCACCAGAGATCAGGGATGAGGACACAGGGTGACGGGGTCACCGGGGTCACCTCGCTGCCTGGGAGACTGTGCACTGAGCGGTAGGAAGCGTGGCGGGGCTGGGGGTGGGGTGCGGGGACGTGTGAAATCCCAGGGAGATGGAGACCACCATCCACTCAGAGAGGCATCCGCAGGGATCTGTGAATTGAGTCAGTCGCAAGGTTGGATGGTGTAGCTTGTCATCAACCTGGAGAAAGTCTAAATGCCTTCACAGCCGTAGCAGTGTGCTCGGGCTGCCATAATAAATCCCAGAGACTGGGTGACTTAAGCAACAGACGTTTATTTCTCACGGTTCTGGAGGCTGGAGGTCCAAGGCCAAGGTGCCAGCAGGGTTGGTTTTTGGTGAGGTCCCTCACTCTTCCTCGCTTGCTTTTTCTCTGCGTTCTCACACGGCCTTTCCTCTGTGCACGCGGAGAGAAAGAACACTCTGTTAGCTCTTCCTCTTCTTAGCAGAACACCAGCCCTGGAGTAATCCTCCAGGGCCCCACTCATGACTGACTTAACCTTAATGACCTCCTTGAAGGCCCTGTCTCCAAATACAGTCACACCGGGGTAAGTCCTTCAACACGTATATTTTGCGGAGACGCAGTTTAGTCCATAACAGCAGGCACGTGGGGTCTGAGGATCATCCGGCCTCGGCCAGCTTCCCTGCACCTCACTCCCTCCCAGAACGGTCGTCTGCTCTGGGTCTGACGTACGCCTTGCCGTTCTCTAAGCACATCACACCCTTGCCTGGCCCGATGTGCCTTGCAAGTGCTTTCCCTCTTCCCGAAATCCCTCCTCCCCGGCCGACTCCTGCCTCCCTGAGCACCAGCGCTGCCACCACCCCCTCCTCAGGAAGCCCTGGTGGGCAAGGGGGCATCTGGGTTCCCCCGTCACCTCTCCCGTCACCCGCTCTCTGATGTGAGTTTTCCTGCCATCTCTCCCTCCCCTGGCTGCTCCCCGAGGCCCTGTGTGTATTGTCCCCAGGGCCTGGCAGAGACTCATTAGATATCTGTTGAAGGAATTATCAGGAACGTTTGATTTCCAGAAACACCTGTGGATAGACGTCTTCCGTCCCCAGTGGGTGCTCTGCTGCCCGCCCTCCCTCACAGAGGTCCGGGCCGTGTGGCCCAGTGAGCACACCATGGGATGGCAGCGGGTTCTGGCTCAGTAGGGCAGTGTGATGGCCTCCCCTCCCCCAGAGTCAGTCCAGGCAGCACTTTTAGTTATGTGCACACAGAACCATCTGGGTTGCATTAGCAGGCCCCGCTGGAAACAGTCCTTAACAAAATTGAGGGCTGGGGAACATCGGAGGGGAACGGTGGGGCCTTCCCTCCTGTGCAGAAAGACAAAGTGGGAAAAGAGGACGGATCCAAGTGGAAACGGCCGCAAGGGAAGCCCACGCTGTCCAGACCAGGTGTGTGTTGGTGGGATGGGCGGGTTCCCGAACCAGGCAACCGCCGCCGAACAGCAGGCCCGGCTCCACTGCCAGCAGCACAAGCGAGCGTGCGCGGTTGGTTGGTGGTTTTAGGCACTAAGAGGCTCCGGTGGCCTTTAGGGTTCTGATGGAAGCAAGGTGAGAGCACGGGGCAGGCTATGTTGTCCCCCATTGAAACCAAGCGAGCCATTTCACCAGGACCACACCAGTGACGGTGTTTTGTGCATGTGTGTCTGTGTCTGTGTCTGAGCAGCTGGCCCCCCGCGAGGCCCGGGAGCAGCAGGAACTGAGGGCCTGCCTGCGCTGGCGTCGCCTCCAGGATGAGATGCAGAGCTCCCCCGCGGAGATGCAGGTGTTAAGGTAAAACTGCGTTGTGATCTGCAGCCCTCTCGTTCCTTCTTTCCTTCACGACATCTCCCTGCCACTGATGGCATCTGCTGGTTTCCTTTTTAAATTGAGCTGGGCGGGCTTCTCGTCCCCCCAGATGGGACGGTTATGTTCTAAGTCTTTCAGGGTGTGTGTTTTGATTTGCCTTCCGACATTTTCCTGGTGACTGTTTAGGAAAAAACTAGCATGAGGCCATTTCCGGGGGTCAGATCCTTCGTTTGAAGTTCTAATAGTCACTTTATGTGGTGGCTGCGGACGTGGCGAGGGTTGGGGTTTGGCAGCCTGGCAGACAGTAACCCTGTAAAGCCAAAGGGAAAAAAATCTTTAGGAAAATATTGATTCCTAAGTGTTTAGTGGTCACAGATGTGTGTGTCAATGGGCCCTTTTGTTTCCACCGTAGCCCGGCAGGAAGCCTCTGCTGCCCCCCGTGCAGGAGGATTCCATGGCCAGCTCCTGAGTTTTGTTTGTAGACTGTGGCTTGTGGCATGTGCAGGATTATTTCGTGCCATTTTTCCACGTGTGTCCCTCTCTGCTTCGCTCCTTTTCTTTGTAAAATGGTTATCTGAAACCTGGTGCCTAGGCTCCGGGAGCACTGCGGTTGCTGTGGCAACAGAAGCTTCCGTCCGCCCCCCTCTTGACTAGAGTCAGATGCTTGGAATCCGCCATCAAACAGGTGGGGAGGGATGGCCATCCAGGAACTGCTCCTGTCCTCGCCCCTTCTTCTTTTTTTTTTTTTAAAGATGGTGTCTCACTCTGTCACCGGGCTGGAGTGCAGTGGCGGATGTCTGCTCACTCCAACTCCTAAATTCAAGTGATTCTCCTGCCTCAGCCTCCCGAGTAGCTGGCATTACAGGCGCCCACCATCACGCTCAGCTATTTATTTATTTATTTATTTATTTATTTGTTTGTTTGTTTGGTTTTGTGTTTTTAGTAGAGACGAGGTTTCACCGTGTTGGCTGGGCTGGTCTTGAACTCCTGACCTCAGATGATCTGCCCACCTCGGCCTCCCAAAGTGCTGGGAGTACCTTCCCGGGCAGAAGCCTGCCTTGGACGGTTCTGCTTTTTGGTTTGTTTTTAAATGAACACCCCCACTTCGCCTGTGACTGAAGCCTAACGCAAATGCACCCCAGGGAGAGAGCTGGCTGGGACTTCTGTGCAGCACTGCAGAACGTCGGGTGTGGCAAGCTGCACCCTTCCCACGGCAGAGTTCCCTGCGCTTGCACGCTAAGGCGGCCTCCCAAGTTGACTCATCCATTGTTTCGGAAAGGCAGATCTAGTGGAGGGAAGTGGAGCGGGCCAGGAGCCAGGAGACCTGTGTTCCCGCCTCAAAGCCACTGTTCCAGCATCTGTTCCCTCGGCCAATGCTGACTGAGCCAGGCAGGACAGCTGCCCCTATGGCCACCGTGGACACGGCCCCTGCTCTCATGGAGCTTCCACTTAGCAGGGACATCACTGCATGTACTGGCCGGTCACAGGTGGTGCGCAGCGCTGTGAGCGGACCGCTCGGTGATGTCCATACTGACTGGAGGGTGGCACATCAGGAGGTGGGGGGATTTCTCTCTGAAAATGAGCTGCCTTGTACGTAGCCTGGCTGAGGCGGGAAAAGCCTTAGTGTGCCTTAGGGATAGAAAGAAGGGCAGTGTGGCTGGAAAGGGGACTGAGGGCAGGGGCAAGAGAGGCAGGCAGGAGCCAGGTCCCACGAGCCTTTCTCCAGGTTCTCGGAAGCTGCTCTGGGGCCTTCGGCAGGAAGGTGTGTGATCCGCTCAGTGTTTGTGCAGTGCTGCTGTGTGGAGAGCACCACAGGCAGCCGACGGAAAGCCAGCAGAACGGTTGCAGCCTCGCAGTAGTAGTCCATGCGAGAGGCCCTGGGGTGCCGGTGACAGATGCAAGACGCAGACCTATTTGAAATGTGTTTTGGCCATGGAACCAGCAGGCCTTGGTTGATTGAATGTGGAGAAGAGGAAAATGAATGTATCCAGAATGACTTCGAGGTTTTTTGAGTTGAACAGTTGGGTAGATGGTGATCCCATTTATGTGATGGTAAAGACATGGGGAGGAGCTTGGAAGGAAAGTGAAGTTTCCAGCTTTGCATGTGTTAAGTTTGTGATGACCAACAGATATTCAATAGGATGAACTTGGGAGACTGCAAGTCAGGAGCTCACTGGAGAGGCTGGAACATTCAGCCTATAAAACCCCTTAAATCCTGAACACAGTGGAATCCCCAGGGAGAGAGGAGAGTGAGAGAAGAGGTCACGGGGAAGAGGGGGAGCCAACAGAGGAATCTAGGGAAACCGTTACGTGTTTCCCCAGAGAAAATCAGGGCTCCAGGGCCGTGGAGGCCAGAAAAGAAGCTGAGGCAAGCAGGTGGGAGTGGCTGATGTTGGCAGCTGCCCGGGGGATGAAGGGGGTGAAGGAGAGAGAAGTGGGACGACATGGGTGGTGGAGAAGGAAGCCAGGCTGAAGTGGACAGGAAGCGGGGCTGGTGACTGTAGGCTCCGTAAGACGGGTTGTGCTGGCCCAGGAAGCAGAACTGGAAAGGCAGCAGAGGGACATGAGGGCCAGAGAGGTTTGCTTTCAGTCAGGGGCCCAGGAGCATGCTTACCGACGAGCCGCCTCACCGCGCAGATCCCTTCACCCTCAAAGGCTCGGGCCCTCCACCTGAGAGGTCATCTCCATTCTCCACGTCTCTAAGTCCCTTTGATCCCTTTGGTTCTGCATAACCGTAGTCCTTCAGTGGGGGGTAGAGGTATCATAATGAAGATGAGTTTTGATGAACTGTGTTTCCAACTTGTAAGCAAGTTAGACCGCACCCTGGGAAGTCGGTTCACACACGAGGAGGGCCTCATCTCTGGCTTCCCTGGAGCCTGAGTCAGCCCAGCTTCTGATGGCCAAGATCTTTTCCTTTGTGTGTGGAGCTGGGAGAACAATCTAGTATTTTTAGACCTTTGTGCTAGACGGCTTTTTATGGCATTTGCTTTTCTTTGTCTTAGTGTTCAGAAATTTTGTTTGCCTAAATTTAGGCTAACCATGAATTGACTGCATTTGAAAGGCTTATTGCACATCAGTAAGGAAAATACTGTTATCAGATGCACTTACAATGAGGAGGAAATGTGTCCGAACCTGCCCTGAATTATATAGTCTAAGTCTCGTTCACTCCCATCCCCTAGAATTCTCCCTGAAATGGACTCAGAGAACCTGGAAATTATTGAAAGTAAAAGGAAGAACCAGACTTGTAAAAATTTGTTCTCAGATTTTGTTTTCAACGAGACCTTGGGAAAGAAGTCCCTTAAAAACAATCAGAGGTGCTATCTTGTTTTTTCTTCCAAGATGCCCCATGGTCTTGAAATGATGGACCAGAACAATGTAAAAGTCTGAGTTTATGTCTCAATAGGTTTCCACATGTTGGCGGACACAGTGGAAACTTCTCTTGAGATCTTTGCCACACTGTTCAACATGTCTGACCAGTCTCCTAAAAATGCTTTCTCCTTGAAGCACTTTCTCCTCCTGGCTTCTGTGTGTCTTACTCTCCTTGAGTTCCCTCTGCCTCTGTGGCCTGTCCTTCCTCACCTCTCTTGCTGGCAGGTTAACAGTCTCCACTTCAATGGCCCAAGGCTCAGAAAGACTGAATAAGATGTCTAACCTCCTCTGGCTGATAAAGAAGAGAACAGGGATTTAAACCCAGGGACTGAAACTCTTCTGTTTCCCTATACCATATTCCTGTCTTCAGGGAACTGAGAGAGCATTTAGTTGCATTTAAAACAAAACAGAACAGAAACCTGCAGGTATCTTGGGCTCTGGAAGGACATACAGGTCAGGGTGAAATGTATGCTTAGTCCAGGCGTCTTTTGTCTGTTAACACATGAAGCATGTGTCTTATTATTTTAAAAGATATTGAGAAAAAGGAAAACTCAACATTCTCTTGATTATAGATAGTGGAGCATTAACAAAGTGAGAAGAGAAAAACTAAAATTTTGTTTGGCAATGATTTATTAATTTCAGTAGTTGATAAGAACAGCTTTCCATTTGTGCCTTCCATCCACCCACTGAGCCGCGGTCTCACCAAATGTTTCTGCTTTTCTTTTCTTTTCTTTCTTTTCTTTTTTTCCTTTTTTTTTCTTGACACAGTCTTGCTCTGTTGCCCAGGCTGGTGTGCAGTGGCGTGATCTCTGCTCATTACAACCTCTGCCTTCTGGGTTCAAGGAATTCTCCTGCCTCAGCCGCCCAAGTAGCTGGGACTATAGGCAGGTGCCACCATGCCTGGCTCATTTTTATACTTTTGGTAGAGACGGGGTTTCACGTGTTGGCCAGGCTGGTCTCGAACTCCTGCCCTCAGGTGATCCGCCCGCCTCGGCCTCCCACAGTGCTGGGATTCCAGGCTGAGCCGCTGTGTCCGGCCCAGATGTTTCTTAGATGGACTTTGTTGTGCGTCCTTTGCATCAGGTGTGTCTGAGACTGACTTGCTGGTGAGTCATTCGTTACAGGTTTCTTGTGTTTTCCTGGCCTTCTCAGCCCTCATTGGCTGGAGAGCCTGTAATGTGGCTACAGACTTCGGAGGCAAGACGATCTGCTCAGTTTCGAAATGTCAGGGATCACATGCCACTTTTCATTTGTTAATTATTGAAGATGTCTTTTCCACACATGAGACCCCAAGGACTCTCCCAGACTCTTCCTCTCCTCTCTGGCCCTGGGCAGAACTCGTCCCCAGGCAAAGTCTGCTTTCAGTGTTCCTTTCTGCCCTGCCACTGCTCAGCTCTCTCCTGTCATCCGTCCCCTGCCTACAAGGTCCCCTCCTGACCTGCGCAGCGGTGGCGGCTCTAGCCGGAGATGCACGGGGCTTCTGAAAGGCCCGCCATGCCTCCTGTCTCCAGGGTGCAGCTGGATTCCGGCAGCTTCTGCCTAAGTGCTTTCAGTCAGCACACTGTGACAGGCCCCAGGGATGGAAGAGCTAAGGTGGCAGGGTCAGAAGAAATCTC